GGGAACAGAATAAGACCATTGCCTCCAATTGAGATACAAGTCAGAAGTCAAACTGAAAAGTGTCTCTGAGGATTTGATTGAAGACAGAGTTACAAGGAAAAACTGAAAAAGGGACTCATCTGCACAGTCCTCAGAAAGAAAAAAAAACGAAAAAAAAAAAACAGTGAAGGTGAATGGAAGAGGAAATATGGAAGAAGGAAGGATTTACAAGTGGGTATTAATGGCTCTGCTGTTCAGATGGTTTAATATTTTCTACTGCAAAAACTCCTTTACGATGTGTTTGTGCTTTGTGACGCACACAAATACTATGGTTGACCAATGTTGTCTGAAAACATCACAAAAATGTCTCCTTCTTTGCCTCTGAATTGTTGTTGGGTTTACCAGCATGGTAAATATTCTTTCCCTTGTATGTGTGGCTCAGAAGGGGCAGCATGCAGAAAAACAATGGAATATGAACATTCCCAAAAGCCAGATATGGCAGCTAGAGTCACAGAGATGTTGTAGTAACTTCTTCTGACTTCTTCCTTGTTCCTCTTCACTGGCATATACACTGCAGCCCCTTTCACCTTCATCGGAATAGCAGCAGAACTTCAAAGTACACACTGTATGCAACTTCAAAGCCTCAGGATTGAATTCCTATCAGTGAGTGCTCAGACAACATCACTGCCCCTTCACAGATAACTCCACAGGCTTCAGCAAGTATGAAAAGAGCTACTGAGGGAATTGGCTGCTCCAACACATCACCAACAGGATACTCAGTTTCTCTGGTATTGGCGCTAGTGTGAATGCTCCCTTTGCATTAGGTAGTGGGGTATGTACTCTCATTTCAGAGTTACCTGACCCCACATGGATCTTCAGTTCCCCTTCTGTACTATCAAAGCTACCAAGAGCACATAGTGTGACAAGATTTGATGAGCATTTGAATCCAAGGCAGCACTCTTTGGCAACACACAAGTATAGAGGCTTATCAGCAGGGCCACATGAGAGAGAAGACTGATAAATATGAACATCAAGCTCCTTTTACCAGGACTGCTCTCTTTATTTTGAAGTTTATGGCAATACCCATATTATCTATAGATGTTCATACTGACAATAAACCTTTTCACAGAACATCATTGATGACAGCTTTCAGAGCAACCAGCATGCAGTTTTTTCACATCTTTTCAAAACCAGCTTAGCACCTGATGCTGGAGTGTGAATAGCTCTTTGATTTTCCCCATTGCCTTCCTACACCTTCTTCTATTAATAAATTTATGAGCTTCCAACTCTTCCACCCCTCCAGCCCCAGTAGGCAGGCAAGGGGGTTACAAGGAGCAGGCTGCCTTGTGAACACAGAGCTGGGGCCCTGAGCTCTCCTCGGCACACGCAGGGTGCTCAAAATCATCCACCAGCTGCACAGACCATTTGTGCTATGAGGTCATTCAGCGCTACCCCATCGCTGAGGAATCTGCTGGCCACCTTCCTGACAGCACAGCATAATGTCCCACCTCGCCTGCCAGCTAGCACAACAGCCTCTCACTGAGCTCGGGCCCCACTCTCCACAGGTGCTTCTCAATCATGCTCTCCAGCATCCATGGCCTCTGGTTACCCATTGACCACCATGTCCGCCTGACAGCACCCTGCCCTGTTCCATTCCAGCCTCCTCTCTTCGAGCTGTTCTTTTCACCACTGCCAGCATGGTGAAGATGCCATCAGAGCAGGATGAGTTGGCTGGGTACAGACAACTTAGAGACATCCTTGAGAGGGAAAGATTATGGGGAGTCTTCGCAGGAGAAAAGACTGGACTTGCAGAGGAGTAGGACTTGAATGGTGGTATAGAAATGCTGCACTTTGATGGGAAATCTTTCTTCTCTCTGAGCATGGAGAGGGAGCCATCTAGTCCTTAAATAACAGGAGATGAGAAAGATAACAGGAGATGAGAGAGATAACAAGGCTGGTAGTACAGGGGCTTGGCAAACAGGGCCTGTCCAACAACAGTGTCCATGCAATATGAGCAGGGCAGACACAGTGATTGGAGCCAGGTTCAGCAGCGAGACCAAGTCATCAGGAAAGATTGTAGTGACAAGCAAGTCCAAGGTCCAGCTGAAAAGTTGATCCATAGGCCAGAGTCAGTCTCCATGCTGCTAACCAGTGTTAGACACAGTTCAGGACTGCCAGGCAGGCAGTCCATGTGTCAGAAGGGAAGGAGATAGTCCCAATGGAGTGAGTGTCAGCAACAAATGCTTACTTTCTGACAGGTCTGGGTAGCTGAGGGGCTGGGAGCACTCATGGCCACACAGCTGGGACACGCTGGTCAGCTAGGCTCTGCTGCTGGCTGACAGCAAGCTGTCCAGGGAGGTGGTAAAGTCACCATCCCTGGAAGCGTTCAAGAAACATGTAGATGTCATTCTTAGGGACATGGTTTTAAGGGCAATATTGGTGGTAATAGGACCAGATGATCTTAGAGGTCTTCTCCAACCTTAATGATTCTATGATTCTATGATGATGTGGGGAGGTCCCTTCTGAAGCCAACTGCTTCCCATTGTCCGCTCTAGGCCCACTTTATTTTTCTCCAAATTTCTCTGAAAGACACCCAGTGACACAGGCTTCCAACTGCCTGTAACAGTGCCTCCTCTGGAGAAGAGATGGCAGGTGAGGGAAGATGTAGTAGATATAATAAATAGGTATTATAAAAACCGAATGGAATAAAAGAGATAAAAATAAATTAATGCTCACTATCTTTTTGAAAGATAAGATATCAGAACAAGAGAAGGTGAAAAAAAAGTACAAAGCTTCTTCACGCAGTGTGCCTTTATCCTTTGGATACCTTGCCTCAGGGGAGTGTGAGTAAAAAGCATTTATGTGGTTTCATAAAATAACTGGACAGGGATACTGCAGAGGAAGAACACAATTAAATGCAAAGATTCGACATCTGTCTCTCAGGCTGTTCGAAGCTAAAAGAATATTTGAAGGGATTGACCTCATACTTCCGTGCTCTTATATCTTCCACAAGGAATTTGCCACTGGAAAGTCTCACAGCCAGGAAATTTAGTTAAGTGGTCTTTTATTCTGATCTGGCTCAGCTGTCCTCATTCATTCTCCTAACAAAATTCTGTGGTGACATTACCATTTCTCCCAGAACAGCCCCACACTTGCTATTTGAATGTCTGGTGAGTGGTTCTCTGTCCTAGGCTGGTTTTTCATCTTTGCAATCTCTCCCTGCCAGGGTGACATCTTTCAGAAGGGTCAAGGAGATAGGAGGGAGCTTTCCTGGTGGGTAGATCAGAGCGCTTAGGGAACAGAAGGTCTCCAGAGATGGAGAGAAGACCAACACTAAACTGCAGCATCTTGGATTGCTTGTTCTTTCTCTTAAAAGGCCACCTGTGAATGCTTTGTCTTCAATATGGTAACACAGCAGTGGGCAGCAAGAAAATCTTTTAGAAAATACTTCTTTATTATCTGAGGGAAGCTCAGGAATTTCTCCAACTTTTCTCAGACTTTTGGAGGAAAGGCAGTCTGGTAATGGCAGTCTGATAATGGCAGTTTGCTCCACCTTGCTTAATCAGGAGGAAATTATCTCTCAAGAGCTGTAGCCACATTGAATCGATCTTCAGCATCCCAGGTCTGAAAGTAATCAGGAGAGTAAGAAATGTGCCCTTCAATAAAATGGCCCATTTAGCCCAATCTTTTCCTCCAACAACAGTAGTAATAGATAATGTTTAAAAGCACATGCCTACCCACTATCTGCAGTCTATTTTCCTAGTAATCTTCCAACATCTAAAAGTCTTGTGTTATGGAAGCTGGAGGGTGAAACCCAGTCCAGTTCTTTAAATATCATAAATTAATTTCATCCCTCTTTTGAACCCACTGATAGCATTGGCCTCTACAATCTCTCCTGTGGCATCAAGTTCCACACATTTACTCAATACTATGTAAAGAAATACTTCCCTTGTTTGTTCTAATTCCTCTGATACTAAATTCACTGTGAATCCTCTAGATTGTCACATTGCAGAACTTCTTTGTGAAAGACAGATTCATCTTGTCCATCATCTTCATGATTTTATAAATGTCAGTCATATCTTCTCTCAACTTTACCATCTCTCCAAAAGAAGAGTTTTCCAATAATCCCTCATAAAGCAACTACTGCATGACTGATCTCTGCTGCCCTTCTCTGTACCTTCTGTAATTTCATCATGTCTTTCTTGAAATATAGAGACCAGAGCAGTCCCCAGAGCTCCACATCAGATTGCACAGAGATTTTATCTAGAACTAAAATGGCATCCTCTGTCTAATTTTAGTTACTATTATCAATATGCCCAACATTTCTTGTGGCTGTTGCCAGAAGGGTAGTAAATGTGAATTCCAAGATCTCCTTCCTAATTTGAAACTGCAGATCTGAGTTCTGAGATCAGCATCATGTAAGCATGGGTTAGTTTACTTTCTCTAGATGAGAAATATTTTCTCTGAATGAGAATATAAACTTGCTTAGATTTACTAAGTTTTTGATTGCTTAATTTTTTATTACTATTTATAGTGAAGTTCCTCTGAGAGTTTTCTGCTCAGCCTCTTGGTTTCGTGTGACTCTCCTAAAGTCCTTTGCCATCAGAACGGTATTTCTGCACCCAAAGTAAGTCAGTATCAGCCTTAGACTTGATTTCACTGTTTACTTGCTTCTCCAGTTTATCCATAAACACGCTGAATGAAACTAGTCCCAGCAGCAACCCCTGGGATATGCTCATAGTTCACCCTTCTTCATCCTGAAAAGTACCAAATGCGACCTATCCTTTGCTCATCTTTCATTCCACAACATGATCTTTCCTCTAACTGCAGTAATTTAGTTCCTTTACTTACTCTCAGTGAGGAACTTTGTCAAGGGGTCTTTGGAGGTCTGAATGTATTATTTTGCCTAGCCACATGCATATTAACATCATTCCAGAACCCCACCCTTCCAGAACCCAGCATGGCCAAAATTTCCCTTTACAGAAGCCATATTAACTCTTTCTCAACAGATGGTTTTCACATACTTGTCAATCTTACTGTTTATTATAGGCACCACTGTCTTGCCACAGAAGGAAATCAGATTCCCCACTTATTTTTCATAGTGGGAGTTACACTGGCAATCCACAAGGGCTCTGGCACAGATACATTAATGACAGGTTATACAGCTTGGCCAGCAGTTCACAGTTTCACATTTAAATTCCTTCATGGCTTTCAGGAAAATGTTGTCCAATCATGGTGACTTATAAATATTCAAGGTATCTGTTTGGTCTTATTTCAAGAATAAACTGTCTTTTCTGATCAGTCTACTGCAAACAAGTCATCAGGAGTTGAAATCTTCGCAACAAACAGGGTACTTCATGCTCACTAACAGAAGAAGGAACTGTATCCCAAGGCTTCTCTCCCAGGCATAGATAAAAGAAAGGAGCTTGAAAGCTTTCTAAACTCCCTGGGAGAAACATTTGAAGTCTGATGTCTTGGCAACAAATCTACTTCTAAAAAGCAGACTTGTTTTGTCACTTTCCTGAAAGCATGATCAGTAGTATGGCTACTGCATCTTCAAGGTCATACTATTCAGAGGCAGAGGCAAACCAGGACCAGCGTGGAAAAATACAACGTGTGACACTAGGGGGTGGTATTAAACTAAGTGGAAGTATATAATTTGGTTTCACTTAGCTTCTTTGAAATTCAGTCTCACAAAAGTGATGTGTTGCATCTAAGCCCTTCAAGCATTCATTTATCTGCACACCAGGACCCACCTGACCCACCTTCCCAGGACCCACATGACAGTTTTATTGGTCGTTGTGGTCCCATGATCCATCTCTGGTATGAGATCAGACAAATACCTCTACACATGAGTGCCTGAACATGTGCAACAAAAAACACACATTTTTTGTTGCACACAACAAAAGAGACACACAAATAAACAAGCAGAATCAAAACAGGAAGAAAAAATTCCTTGTCCTGGACATGTATGAGGGAGTAGGGAATTCAGCTTCAAGAACTTTGCTACCACATCCTTCTTTCTCCACAGAAAAAGAAGGCAAAACAGTCTTGGCTGTTTTAATGAGCCTCTGGCTCTTGCTAGCCTGAGTCTGCCTCCATGTAGGAGCTGTGTACTCTTTCAGTCCTTAGAGATGTGTCTGTTGCACTGTGCATCCAGGGAGCTGCCCTCTGACGGCTGATCTGCAGGCATGACATATAGGGCACCCAGTGGTTCTCACCCTTAGGGGAGCTCAGATCCAGTTTAATTCATCCAGAGCAGAGATTTCGTCAGTCTCTGTGACCACATGAAAACTCAAGCTTCACTCTTGGGAGGCTCAGAGTCCTCCCTCATGAGAAAGTTGGTTCATGACGTTCCAGTTGCTTTTCTCTACAGACACTGAAGCATTCTGGTCAACATGGCCAGCTGTTGGTGAAAAAACAAGACAGTAAATAGATATTTGCCTCCATTAGGAAAGATGCACATCAAAACCTCTTCCATACTAGACATTAAAACTCTTAAAAGCTATCACCTCCTGGAATCTCTGCAGATCTTCACTGTTTCTTCAGTGGATGAAACAACAACAACATTTGTGATGATCTGGCTGGAGTACGAATCAGATGCCTGTATGTAATGTTGCCCAGTGGCTTTCTGCCACAGCTTGGAAAGCTAAAAGCTCTCTAGCTAATGCATTATTTTATTTCAGTGATCTCATGTTTAAAGCATCATTTCCTTAGCCTGAGGCTCTCCCGTGGGGTCAGTAAATTCCACTTTCAAAGAAGGTTTTAATTCCTTGGTGAGTGACAAGCTGGAATGGTGATGTGAGTCCTAATCCCTCTTTTGAATGGTGAATGGAGCTTCTCATCATTAGTACATCAGACATGCTACCAAATATATCTTCAGCTTCTCCTCATTAGTACATCAGACATGCTATCAAAGATATCACGGGACTAGCAAGCACCAGTTTGCAACAAGCCAGCTGGACAACAAGAAATGGAAAGGTCTTCTTCCAACTACACCAGCCTGCAGGGCCTCTGCTGGACCCTCCCTCCTCCCCTTCTAGTGGTGAAGCATGAGACAGTGCACACAGTTTTCTTTTCTCTCCCATGTCTTTTCTCTCCTTCAAACTATCATTCCTCAATTTGCCTGGAAGAGGAAAATTAATACTTAAAATATGTTCCTCTTTATTCATTCCTGCTCTATTTCCTCCTCCTTTGAATTAATTTCTAGCTCCTTGTCATTCTACTGAAACATCCTAACATGTTCCTTTTCTATCCCCTGCGCTCCTACCACTTGGTATCAGCACAGTGAAACAAATACATTATGAGATAAGCAAGGGAAGGGAATGGGGGAAAATCAAAGAGACAATCATTTTCCTCATTTTCCCCAGGCTGCTTTTTTTTTCACTGAGGATTAATTTCCATTATCCCAAAAGCCTTTATGTCTACTTCCCTGCCATTATCCTGGGTTCAGCACTTCCTGGGAATCTAATTTCTCAGTTTGGAAGACGATATAAAAATGACCTGGCAATAGCCATGAAGTAACATGACAAGGCCATTTTTCTCTTGCAGTGCCATTGCAATGGAGGAAGACTTGCTATAGTGAACAGTGTTTGTCTCCTTATCCTTGCCCATTAAGTCAAGGATACCCATGCCTTTTAGGAAGTATCATCACTGTCAGTGAATTTTCATTCTGACAATCCAGTTCTCCTTGTTCTGCCCTACCATCTGCATGCTATGTCTTTCCCTTACTTTTTTGTTGTGTTTCCACCCCTCTGTGCTCACATTCAGTAGATTACTGGCAGGCAAAAAGTCTCTCTCTGCACAGGTAAGAGGCACTCAAACTAGTGAAGGTGTCCTTAAAGGTCAGCCCTGGGTCTGCCTGCCCCTTGTCCACAATGGATCTTTTCCTTCAATCTCACGAGCCCTTTACTTTTCCCACAACTTTCTGACTTTCAGCAGCCAGCACCACTTCCTGCTCTCTTCAGTGCCTGACTCCTGACTCCCACTACCTTTCCACTCCATAGACTGACATTTAGGTAGGGACGGGCCTCAGATGTATTTTGGAAAGGCAGAAAAACAGGATTAAGTGAGCTCTAGCCATGTTGCCAGCCATGTAGTACAAGCCTAGTCCTACCTGGAAGCCCTTTGGCTATGAACAACAATTTTGAGATGACATAACCAGCAAAGACTGCTTAAGCAAAGTGCCCTGCTAACTAAGCTACACAGCTTGTAGCTTGGCTCAGACTACAAGGGGAACAAGTTATGGCTTCTTGCAACAGCCTTCACAGAGCCAAACACAACAGTTTGCTTTCTGCCTTGGTATTACACAGCGAAGTGGCAACAGCAAGCAATAAATAACATATCTGAAGGGCATTATTACTTTTGGTCTTCTGGCTTTCACTGATTTTAATGATATGAATTTTGTAGCTGCATTATCTATTTATCATATCTGAAAAGGGTTGCAATGGAATTGTCTCATTTTCCCATAACTAACTTTACTTAATTTTTAGTTCTTAAACAGGAATCATGATGAGACCTCCAGGTGCTTTACAATGGAGGGAAAAGCCATTTACAGGAAGAGAGAACAAAACATTGCTTGAGCCACACAGCAGAATATTCACACAGACAAAATAAGACGAGAGGTCTCATTTTTCTTACACTGGTCTTTACACTGGGTCCTGCTGGTAGCCCCAGTAATAGTTACTTCTCTCTTTGCTCAAGTGAGTCAAAGGAAGGCATAATGTTTTGTCTCACTGCTTTTGTTGTTATTTTTAACTGAGAGCAATTGTTTTTTGGTTATCAGGCCACTCATCTGAGGTATTCTGGCAATTTTCTTAATTTTACGTAGCATCTGGAAAAAAGAATGATTCTTCAAGAAATATTCAACAATTGGTAAGCTCAGCACCTGGTAGAAAAACTGAAGAACAGTTTAATAGTGCAGATAATTTCTGATCCCCTTAGCAAATAATTTTATCATAGCTTTGCCTATGTTTATGGCAAGCTATCAGCCCAGATACAAAACTTCCTCACCAGCTCTGACAATAGCTGAGGCTGGAAGAAAAAGAAATGTATTGCCACAGATGTCACCATCTGCTCCACCATATGAAAGGGGAACTTTGTTTTGGAGCTTTACTAGCCCATTACACTCCCCACTTTCTGAAGTTACATTTTCTGGTATTTGCTGAGCTTTGATATATTGCAGAGACAAAGAACAGAAACAGGCAAATAAGCAGAATGTGCTGAGGGAGATTTCTAAGGGCATAAAGAGGAGACAGGCACCAAACTCTCATCACTCTTCTCAGGGTGCTCTGCAACAAAGTACTCTCTGTGGTGCTACCTTCATTTTTCTTTGTCTTCAGTGAAATTAAGCTAGGTTGTTCTGTGCCCCCGTGACAAGCATACTTCCCTGAAAAACAGTCCCAAAGCTAAGCTACTCCTCATTGCTTGCAATGAGACACAATGAAATGTCAATAGTTAAAGGAGCAAAGTCCAGTTTGATTACAACCTTTGGTGTGTAGGCAATTACAGTTTGAAATGTATGCCTGTGGATGTGGCCAAAATGAATTACAGCAAAGGCATCAGATGGGTTAAATCTGAATCTGCTGGTGTAGTCACCTCTTCCCCTCATCCATCAATTTTCCCTATTGATAGAAAAAAATCACAGAACTGTCTGGATAAGACCTTTGAGGTCACCTAGTCCGACGATCAGCCTAACTTACGAAGTCCCATCACTAAAACATGTCCTTTAGTGACAAGTCCATATATTTCAGTTACCTCCAGAGATGGGGACTTTGGCACTGCCCTGGGAGCATTCCAATGTAAGAGACATGCTGCCTTTGGCTCTTGCTGGTGGCCGAAGTGTTGGGCTGTTGCTTGGCTGCAGGGAGACAACACCACCAACAGCTTCCCTTCTCCTCAGGGTCCCGGGGCACAGTGCTGGTACCTGCATGGGACTGCAGTGAGCAGATTGTGGTTACAGCATGCTGGAAGTACACGAAGACATGGGTTTCATGCTCAGCAATGGGACCAAGCTGGTTCTACCAACCTGCTCCCCTCTCCTTCCCATGATGCTATATTGGTTCAGCTGGTTGTTCCTCTTAACCCAGGAGCCTCTCTTATCCAGTGCGGTTCTCACTCAGCTTCCTCCCTAGGATCTACTCTGAAGAAGACAAATTTAACCCCCACACCCTGAGACCCAGCATCAGAATTCCCTGGAGCCAGGTGTTGCTGCTGAGTAATGCAAATTCTGCCTGGGAAGGAGAGCTGCTAATCATAATTGTACAGTTGGAACTGTGTAGAGAGCATATTGTTAAAGCAAGTGCACAGTCTTCTGTAATCTACCATGAAGTGTAAATACCTTCCTGCTCATAGGCTGGAATATATATATATATATATATATATATATACATATATATATATACTTATACTATTTGCACATTAATTTATGTGAGTTTTGGCACTGCTATGTCTGAGAAAGGCAAAGTACTTTTCTATCTCCCATCTGACTACAAGCTGCACACTGAAAGACCATACCTGTTTGGAACCTGGCAGCCATAAAAGCTGAGAAAAGTTGTCAAAATAAAATACTGACTATCAATTTTAGACACCTTGGTATAAAGAAGCAGTAAAGGCTAACAGAGAGGAATGGAGAAAATAGAGCAGACTTGAAAATTCATTAAACATCAATTGCTGCCATGAAGATTACACTGGAAGCCCATAAAAGAGTTCTCACTCAATAAACAAAAAGAGAAGCAAATGGAGAACTAACAGTGACGACTGTGTAATATGAAACTGATTATAAAGATCAGATGTTATCAAAATGTTTGTATCAGAGAACAGAAATGAGGACCCAGAATTTAACTTCTTAGAAAGCAGAGGATCGAGTGATTTAGACCTGAGTTATGTTTTAGTATTTTCTTTAACATGAATGACTCAATCTTCTTTGAGAACAGGAGATTATCAGCAGTGGACAGGATATGGCTTCTTGTTCTTCAGGACATTGATCTTTGCCATCTTCACCTAACTTGTCCAGTCCCTGTGGTTCTCCTCAGGAAGTTCACTTTAGTTCATTCCATTTCCTTCCTTGTAACACTTTCTCACTGGCCAAAATCCCATTCAGTCTGTGGAAGGTGGGACTAGGATTATTCTAGGTTCTCTCTTCCTGCAATGTTTAAAAAATAGCTGTAGGTCCCCTGCAGAGAAGGATTCTGCAAGTTTTCCTATATAGCACTGCTTATTCAAGGCTGTTATGAAGTTACTTACACAAAGCCAAAACTTCTGATGTTCCTGCGTCAACTCTCATCCAAGGGAAGGGGAAGAGGGACAGCACCAGCTGACAGTGCTGCTGTTCAAATTTCTCTTCATATGCTGCATCTTTAGAAGGTAGAAATGCATATGAGGGGTTTTACTGGAAAAAAAAAATCACAGAAGGTTAACATTTCATATTCCACATGCACAGTGCCAACAGGAAATCATTCCCAAAATTATTAAATTGGCAAGGCAGACTGTTGGAATTGGATAGATCTACAAAAATACTGTGTTGGCACAAGGACTTCTGTAATATCTTAACCTATATGCCTATATGTCAGTGCTTTCCAGACATAAAGGACATTCTCAAATGCCAGTTTTGTGAATATGTGAATTTTTCAGTAAAGTAAATGTTAATGTTGTCAAAATTATGAATCTTCCATCTCAAGTCCTGTATTTCTACAGCCTTCAGTGATGACAAATATGAATACATGATGAAATGCAACACCTGTCCTAGAGCAAGCCACTCTGAATTCTCTAAGGATGATTAATTTTGACAAAATTCTACTAACAATGCTGCTCACAGTTTCACTATTGCCGTGTCTCCAACAAAATTCAGCAAAGCTTAGCCCAGTTCTCAGGGACATCTGCTCGTTCACATTAAAAAAAACACAACCCTGCAATCTGACATGGCCAGCTGAAAAACATACTGGGAGGGAATTCTTCCATGAAACATACTGGGAGGGCATTAATAAAGGAAATTGAGAGCTGTTTTATTTAAAATCCATGCTAGGCAGTGGTTGTAGGGTGTTTGATCTCATCATCTCTGTCTGTTCTCATAGCAACCCCAATAAACTGGGCAGGAATCCACAGGTTCCCACTTTATAAGCTTTCTGAGCCAGATGCCCAAGTCACCCTCTGGGAAGGTTCACACATCATTATCTTCAGGTTTCAGCAGAGCTGCATGGGATGTGGCTGCACCAGGGAAAGGAGGTGTCTGCCATCCCTCCCTGCCACCATTTTCTCCTGGGTGTGCTGAGGGAGGTGCCCAAGGGGAAGATAACTGCATGTGGGAGCTGCCAGGCATGTTTGGCAGAGGAACTGGGGGAAAAGGAATACTGGGGTGCAATGGAGATGCACATCTCGGGGAATACTCCATGAAAGCTGAAGAAGCCCCTTGGGATTTCACTGAAGGTAAATTTGGCCGCGCTTGGCACGGCATCTGCATCTATTTCCCCAGCGTCAAAGATGCAGGCAAGGTCTCACTAAACAAATACACTGAGAAGGAAAAAGGGAAGAAAAGAGGAGCTGAAATACAGTTATATTCTTCTCACAGCTAGTCTATCACAAAGGCTGTATTGTGGGATCTACGTGTTACCCATCCTGATACCTGATTCAATCACAGTGGAGAGAAATCTGATGGCACTGGAAGGACTTAAGGAGGTGAGGATTTATGTTGAGGTCAACGCTGTGTTAAACTCAACTCTGATTAAGGGAGAAGGAAACGCTGTGTTAAACTCAACTCTGATTAAGGGAGAAGGAGAGCAACGGCCTGAGATCATCTGAGATGACAGAGGATTTACATCAAGTTGATTATGAAATGATGCAATGTACTTTCCTGGGGGGATGGAACAAGGAAGGATCAGCATCAGAAGCTGAGCTGGCAAGGGGGCTTTTTATGAAGATAATGAAAAGGAGGAAGCAATGGAGGACAGTGGTGCTTTGTGGAAGAGATTTATTAAATGTCACAGGATCCTGATGTGGAGGACAGGCAGATAGTGTAGCAAGAGATCACTGCAGCTGCATCCATATGTCTGCAAGTGTTTCAGAATCAAGAAGTAGGCATATAGAGGGGGAAATAGGGGCATGCATTTGGGGCAGGAGAACAACGAGCCCTGTAGAAAGACTGAGGCTTCAGGATAGCTTACTGCTATCTAGTCTACAGAGAACTAGTAATAAAAGTATCTGTATAGGTCACGAAAATGGGAAAGGCAAAGGGAAAGTGCTAGCTATCATCTGGAAGAACTAATCCCACAAAATCTGGTAAAGACTGAAGTATCCAGAACCCTGTTGAGTTCATTATTTACAAAATAAGTCAATGTTAGCCATATCCTGTAAGAAGATGTAAGAAGGGGGAAGATAAATTAGAACAAGTAGATGTGAGCAGGTTCGTAGCTCACTTGAGGTGCTGAGGCAGCTCTCCAAAACATTGGTCATTATGCCTTTGCAAGGCATTTGTACCCTACCATCTACACCCTTTTCAGTTCCTTCTTTGCTTGAGCTGCATATTCCTCTCGGCTCCTCACATTTCTCTCATGCTTCAGCCATATTTCCCAACCTTCTGTTGCCCCTTTTCATTCTGTAGATATTTCCTCCCATCATTCTGTTCCCTTTCTCTCTTTGTAGAGCTTTCTCAGGCTCAATTTTCATGAGCTCTGAACATAACATTTTTTCCAACAAAATTTCCCAGCCTTTTCCTGCGTAAGTCCCTACTCTGCCCTATAAATAAACTCCTAACCTGATATTGGTTCACTCTGTGTGGATAAAAAAAAAAACAACAACTACGCACCCCATTTTCAAAGGTATTAAAAAAAAAAAAAAGTAACTATCTATGGATAATGTGGCTATTTAAACTCAAATAGATCATCTTTGTAGGAGCCTTCCCTCTCTGATGTCACATGTCTCACAGCCCAACAACTTTAAACACAGCTTGAACGAGAGCATTATCCGAGTGAACACAGGGTTTCAATAATTTTTTTATTACACTGATAGGAATATAAGAAAGAATCCTTCAGATTCTAGAAAACACCCCACATCACATTAAAATAATTCTAAGGTACATGAAGTTGAATTTAAAAAATTTTTTACAGTTACAACTTCCAGCATTTGTAAAAAAAAAAAAAAAAAAAATGTGTATATCCCCTTAGAAAATAAGTACATACACATAATGCTATTGTAAAAGGTATTTGAAAGTATTCTGATGATTTTAAGAGCATTTTAATCAATATAATCTTTATTATTTTCTAATTTCATAAGCCAGTGTTTTGTTTTATGGACACTTGATTCCTTCTACATGTATTTATTCAGCCAGTTGATCATATCCCTTCTTCCTTCCTCAATATAAGGTTTATCCTGAGGATTGATGTTTTCTTTTTTGCGGTGCACAAAACCATGAGTCTGTCCAGGGTAAATTTTAACTTCATAATCAACTTTAGTGTTTTGTTTAAGCTTCTGTTCCAGCACAGTAACCTGTAACAGAGAACGTACCATCTTGGCTGAACACTGAGTTACCATGTCAGGTATTTACAGTCTTTTTTTTTGTTTTTTCCCCTCCTCTATGTTTTTAAGTTCTGCTTTTTTTTTTTTTCCCTCCAGAAGAATAAAAGCATGCAACTGTACAAAACTGCATAAGGTGTATAAGTTACTCTAGTAATACCTCTAAAGACAGAAGCACTCACAGCTCCTTGTCACAAGAAGGATAACATGAAGTCATTGCCACAAGTAACTTCCAATAGGCTCCAAGAAATAAAACCTGGCAATATTTTTGAATCCATTTGAAATGGAGGGAGAAGAACAGATGCAAAACTGACAAATCAAAGTTACTGGGATTTTTGCCAGGAAAGCACCACTCAAAGAAAACACACCCTCCTGTTTGCTCCCCTTTCTAGATCATCTTTTTCTCCAGACATTCTCCACCCTTGCTCCCCAGGAAGACTTTTGACAAGTGTACCAGAAAGCAGAAGCTTTCCATTTGGACGTGATGCTCAGGGACATGATTTGGCAAAAGGTTGTTAGAGTTTGGGTAGTATGGTTAGGTTGTGGTTGGACTTTATGATCTTCAAGTCTTTTCCAACCTCAGCAATTCTATGATTCTAAATTCATCTTCTGGTTTCTTTTAAGTAAATACCAATTTACAAAACAAGAACAAAAAGCATGGAGACAAATATCTTCAATGGGAAACTCACTTGCTCCAGAGGGACAATTTCATCTTTTTCAGCAAAAATGAAGAAGGTTGGGTGAAGCAAACTGCTTTTGTCATCAAAGAATCTGATCACTCCTATGGGAAAAGGAAAGGCATATGAAGTGAGTAATGCTAGTTAAAGAGGTTAAACCACTGCTAAAGCTATCCAGTCAAAATAAAAGGCATTACAATATGTTACAGCTGATCAGATTATAAAGGAATTAAACACACTTTGTTTGAAAGTCCCTTTTATTTTGAGAAGTTCCCATGTTTTGGGTTGCTGTTAAAGACGGAAAGACCATTCCTGTTTGAGAAGTTCAAGGAAGATCATTACTCAATTAAAGTAGTCAAAGTAATGGTATTTTGTAATCACATCACCTTCTTTAGTAAGATGTCACACTGAGTTTTGTCACAGGAGCGCTCTTACAGGACAGCTTCCTACTCTGGTTGTGCCTTCCCACAACACAACAGCCATCTGACACTTACCATAAAGAGACACTCCTGTCTTTAGATGAGGATTTTTCAGCATCAGGTGTTGTACTGCTGCTCCACCCCAGCAGAACCCAATTACACCAATGTTTTTTGCACCACAATGTTCCTTTAGATACTTCATGACAACATCAACTTCTCTAAGAAACATAAAAGAAAGAGAATTAAGGCTTGAGCTCTGCTCCCCGGCTTCCCTGATGGCCACTGCTACTGACCAGAGGCAGCTGGGCATCCACTGCCCATGGGAGGGGCTAGTGACTGCCTTTCTCTTGCTTGTGCTTTTTCTCCTTTCCTTCACTTAATAAACTGCCCACAAGCTTCCTCAGATATTTCCCTCCTATTCTGTTCGTTGTACTGCCTAGGAGCAAATGCATGAGTTCTTGTGCTGGCTGAGGTCCCACAACGGTGCAATTACTCATTTCTGAATTATAGGACAAACTGTAGGTGAGAAACCCAAGGAGAAAATACCCAAGGAGAAAACACGCAAATTCACTCTTCCCAGATCACTGTAAGTAGAACCTGAGGGGATTTTACATATAGTATGCCAATTAATTTCACAAGTGGCAGTATTTGTCCTATAGCATAACATAAATAAAATATAACACAGTTAAGAAATATCAGATGAAAGTTTAAGAAATATGACTAGAGAATGGCAAAGTAGTATGCTCAATATCCTTTCAGCACTGAGGTGCCCAAAACTGAACACAGTACTTGAGGTGAAGCCTCACACCAGTGCTGAGTATAGCGGCAGGATTCC